TCCAAGTTGACATCGGTCAACTTATCAACTGTAGTATCAGTTGACGCCGAAAAAGGTGTTCCACCTAAGAATTGGGCAAAACCTCCCAGATTTCCTGCGGGAACTTGAGATCCACCCGTTGCAATAATTTCAGCAGCACGACTAAGAAGGTATTAAAATTAATTTCTATATATGCATTTAATTTGCCAGTTTATATACCTGCTGCTAGCTGGTTGTACATTTCCTTTGATACGAGGTTGATTTTTTGGTTTCCCCATGTTGAAATCGGCGTAGCAGAAACACTAATGCTACGTAGTGCCCGCGCAATACCGCGATATTTAAATACTTAATTGCATGTGACCGATAATCTTTTCCCGATAAAAAGTGAATAAATTTTCATGTGATTGGCTCGATTAGAATCAATTGTTCAGGTAATGATGATAAATTCTGGGACACCTGATAAAAAAATTGGCATGTTCCCTATATCTGACGTGTGACATTTGACTCATGCCATCATATTTGACTTATGCCATCATGCCATAACATTTGATGTGTGCCGTAATGTTTAATTTTGTGCCGTAACATTTGACTCGTGCCGTGAAAGACCTTCAGAGCCATATTCAATACCGTATTCCTCCGAAAATAAGCACCCCCAGAAAATAATATATACCCGAAAATAAGCACCTCTTATATAATAGAAATAAGCAACAAAATATCAAGTCATTCAAATTATTAGATGAGATTATACCCGAAAATAAGCAACCTTATAGCAAAAAAGGGGTGCTTATTTTCGGAGGAATACGGTAGTACTTTTTCAAGTATATGCTAACAACAGTGATTAACTGAAGAACAGCGATTACTTTTTTATGACTACGAATGAAATATTTGCGTAACTTTATTTATACTTGTTCGCAAGCAAATTAATATAACTTCTACATAAAAGATGTTGCTTATACGTAGGGATTGGAACCGCCTAAAATTTTTCTTAATCGTTTAATCGTTTAATCGTTTAATCGTTTAATCGTTTAATCGTTTAATCGTTTAATCGTTTATTGCGATTTGCAAAATTCTGGATCCCATTGTTATGATCATCACTCAATGATTGTGATTGCAATTGTGACGAAAATAAGCGTTTCTACTTACAGGTAAGAACGTTGATGTTATTGACTGATTTTTCACACGGTGTGCAACGTATAAAAAATCAATTTTACAATACCGGATCATTCGGGTAGTACATGTTATGATTATAATCCAACACCATTTTTATTAGTAAAAATGGTGTTGGATTATAATCATAACATGTACTACCCGAATGATCCGGTATTGTAAAATTGATTTTTTATACGTTGCACACCGTGTGAAAAATCAGTCGTAATAACATCAACGTTCTTACCTCGAGTTTCTACTACAACAAAAAGACATTTGAGGTTGAATTTTGACTAATTATTTTAGAGACTAGTCGGGGCTTATTTTTAAAAGATAGCCTGATGCTTTTAATTGTAATAGAAATATTTACTGCGCCATAATCACAATCGACTGTGGCGCATAAAATAATTATATTATATTTAAGAGCGTCAAGCGATCTTTTGAAATTAAGCCCTGACAAATCTCTAAAATATTTAATCAGAACTCAATCTCAAAGGTCTTTTTGTTGCAGTAGAAACGCTTATTTTTTCACAATCACAATCATAATCATGGAGTGATCATCGCTCAAACTAACAATGGGATTCAGAATTTTGCAAATCGCAATAATCGTTTAATCGTTTAATCGTTTAATTGTTTAATCGTTTAATTGTTTAATTGTTTAATCGTTTAATCGTTTAATCGTTTAACCATTTAATTTGGCTGGCATTAAGATAATTCCAGCCTATGACCAACATAATCCTGCCCGGAATTATGGAGCAATTTTTAAACGGTTAAACGGTTCCAATACATATTAATGAATTGGATTTTTATCATATTATTATTTGGATGATATTAAACAAGCTGCAGTACTAACCTTAATAATTTTTTAAAAAATTTTCAAACCTATAGAATATCGCTATTTTATATAATGATTACTATAAATATCGGCAACAAGTAGCAAACATAAAATTTTTGAGTTTATATTAGTGGATTTTTGGATCCATTAGAATTGTCTCATTGAGATGAACATTTTAAGTTTATCTAAAAACTTCTAAAGTTGCTTTGTTTTTTGGATAACTGGTTTTCTTTTTTACTTGAAATATTCGATTCTGCAACTTCTAATATATTTATTTTATTGTCTGCTATCTATTTATAAGCAAACTTCAGTTTATAAGTATTGTTTTTAATACTATTAATATTATAAGTTGTGATATTAAGCTCTATTACTCACTTTAAAAATTATCTGCTTGCATTATTTCTGCTCTTAATATTTTCTTCCTAAACTATTAAAATTTTTTAGCAACTTCTTTATTTTTTCTATTATATATATTTTCTATTAAATGAAGAACTATCTCTTCTTAATTAATATTTTTTTGAATCTGCTTGTAGAAAAGGTTTAGATCCTTTATCTTCTTTCTATAGTTCAACTAATTCTTCCAATTTTAGAAGCATTTAGTAGATAATAGCTATTTGTTTAGTTTTTCTAAATATTATATAATTTTAGCATTATGTTTTAATCTTCTATTTTTGCTGCTAAATTTCTATCTCTAATATATTTTCATAACTTAAGCTTTTTTTGTTTTTTTTTAGTTTGTTAAAGTATCGTCTTTTATTCTTTTATTTTCTTTTATACTTTCTATTATTATCACTTCTATTAGAATCTTGATTTTTTTCTTTAAATGATAATGTTTTTTGTTCATTTTCTTTCTTTTGATAGCTTCTTATCTTTATTGTTTAATTCTCTTTTTCTTCTCTAATTATTACTTTATTATTTTTTTTCTTCAAATACTTTCTGTCTTTGATTTCTTTTTTTATATAGTTTGTAGCTAGTAAAAATACTATAAAGAGTATTATATCTTACTAATTTTTTTTGTACTTCTTTCATTTCTAATTAGTAGAAAATATTTTTTTTTTATAATTTGGCTGTCCTGCCACTTTTTATTTGAGATTAAACTAAACTAAAAAATTTACATTTCTTAATAATAGCTATATTAATTTTCTCACAAAGCAGCTTACCCATGCTTTCGCCAGATATAACCAGCCTTAGTGAACTTCAAGCCTCTTTCCAGACCCTAACTCACTAAGAGTTATTCTTTGATCATGAGTAGATACTACACACCATATCAGAATTGACTTTTTTTTTTATAAAACAAAGCATAAAACAAATAAAAGGGCAAAAGAAAAATGGGAAAATATCTCGACATCAAATTCTGGTCCATCTAAACAAACAAAACCAAATAAAACAAATAATAAAAAAAGAAAACAAAGAAAAGAAAACAAAGATAGCATTATTAAACCTGTGCCAGATTGTAAAAATTATATAGTATTACAAATAAGCTAGACTAAACTCTATGCTAATTATTTATATCTATATTCAGGATGTAAAAATATCAAAAATCATCTGGTCTTGAAGTAGAGCCCTAAGGTCAAAACTTTCGATTGCTATCCTAATTAGGTTGGTGGGTTTTCTGCAATGTTTCAAATGTTATTACATTATCTGACACTATTCATTCCAAAGTAAACACATATATGTATACATGTCTTTCCTTTTTCAGCAGCTGTTACTATATCAATCTTTTGTTAGGGGTATGCTGTTTTTTTCACTTTTTGGTAAAAATTTTAAAAAGTACAAAGAGTGAAGTTTGATGAAGGGTTTCAGTTTACAGGTATCCTTAAACTTCAGTAAGGAGTATATTAAAAACTTGTTAGTTATTCTCCTTTAAACCAACTATTATTTAACTTTGTCACAGAAGCAGTATATTTATTAAAATTTTTTGCATAAAATCACCACCTTCTTGCTAGTTATCTTGTACAAAAATGCTTTTAACTTGCATGTCAAATATATAGAGAAGTTCAGAGAAAAACAAGACAAGCCTTGACTTCTGTAAAAACCATTATTTGTAGTTGTTTCTTCTGCTTTTCTTTAACAAGTTTTTGTTTTTATTAGCTATAAGTTTGGTACAAGTGATCATTGGAAAGAGTTAAATTAGTAAAAAATATTATTTTGCTATTTGCTTTATAAATCTACTTTTCTTTTTAGAAATATAAACTGCCTTCACTTTTTTGTCTTTTAAATATCTGGATAATAAATTTTTAAAAGACCTTTTATTTTTTATTTTTTTTAATATTAAGGTGGCTTCTTGGTTGTCTGCTTTTATTTGATTATTAGATTAACTTATTTACTATATAATAAACTACTTCTAAAGATAATCTGCACAATATATATATTGGAGAGTACATTTAGTTATATATGCAACTTTTAGTTGACTAATTAAATAATTTATCTAAAGGTTCTACACTATATATTATACCTGCAACCCAACTAGAGAGTTGTCTATTTAAACTCTTTGCAGTTATGTAAAACACTCTATAAACTGAGCAAGAAGTACTATACTCCTTATTTTTATATACCTAACTTAAAACTTTAAAGCAGACTCTATTCAGAAGTAGTATTCTTATTTGTTAAGTCATCTCTTTCACTTTTCTGGATCCTTTATCCTTAAAGACAAAAATCTAGACTTAAGTAACTTATACCAAGTTGTAATTGGTTTTTTGACCTTTGCTACCATTATCTAATATTTGTCTTTATAAATTTACAGCTAGATCTGATTTCTACTTCGCAGCATATCTTCAATACTTTAGTATACACTATAATTCTCCCCAAACTCATAATTTAGATAGAGCAGAAGAACTGTAACCTGTTCTTGATATATTGAGTTCAGCCCAATATTCTTTTTCTCTAGTTCGAATTCTGACAGCCTGGTTGGTAAATTCACTTGCCTATAGATTATGCTCTATTTAGTTTGTTTTGCCAAATATCTATTTCTTAGATCTAATCTTTATAATGGTTCTATTAAAAATCTATATTATCTCTTCTTAGATCTTCCTAAATAGGCTTTTGTAACCTTAGGGATGTGATATTTAAGAGCTAAATATAGCCCTTCTGAAGAGTATCAATTGACTATTCCTCAGATTATCAGAGTCAATCATTTAACAAATACAAAAATTAAAATAAATTATATAAATTTTGTATATTTTATATGCTCTTTGCATATTTTATATACTTCTTGCATATTTTATACACCTCTTGCATATTTTATGCATAATTATATACAAATATGCATAAATATGCAAGAGATGCATAAAATATGCA